GAATGCCGAACCACCTTTTCTCTAAAATACAGACTTTTCATCTTACTTAGCATGGGCTTATGGCTACTCAGCCCAAGTATGGGAAGTACAGTCCCACTTATCAACACATTTTTTTGTCCATTAAAAAAAAAAATTACTTCTTTTGGCTACTTGTAAATGAAGAATGAATGGACATTTTTGCTAAAATTTATTTTTCAAGTTTCGTTTCTAGAACTTTAACACTTAAAGAAGAAGGTTTCTTTTTCAAAAGACGTTGAAATACATTAGTTTTGGCACCTCTGTAATTCTACCTGAGCAAGTACTTCCGAGGTCTAAGAAAGCCTTTCTGAAACAGAAGGCCACTGACTTCTTTATGTATGCTTTCATGATAAAAGTCTACTGCATGCAGTTGATAATCTATCTGATATTCCTGAATTTTGCTCTGAGTAATGCTTTTAGTGTTCTTATTCATATTTTTATTTTATATATATAGGAGCAAATGTTCTATTTTAGTAGAAATCTTTAACTTGATTTTTATAACCATCTTTTTGCCATTAAACAGTTTGAAATCCTAACCGATGTGGAAGGAATTTCAGAGACACTAGCTGGTCACTGCTTTAACATGTAGCTTACGTTTTTCTGAGTTAATTGGATCTGCTTTATTTTTCTCCCCTGCTGACGTAGTCTTGTTTCACCACCACGCTTTCCTGCTCCCCCTACAATTTTTTGCCGGCTTACTTTGCCAAGAAGAGTAGAAATGACATTTCCTGAGCTACCCTGGAGAATGAAGGAGCTGTTCCAACAAACGGCCTTTTTTGCAGCTACTTAAAAAAGTGAATCCTTTTGTGTGTTTCTCTTTTTGCATGCCCACTTCAGCATATGGTTGTGCATGTCGCATACTGCTGAATTAAGAGCAATAAGTGTGTTTGGTCCCAGTGTGGCACCCTTCTTTCCCACAGTCATATCATTTATTTATGGTCTGGTTTTATTTTCATTTTGATCACTTGGAAGTTTATTTTGAGCGTATGCTTTTCCTGTGCTCTAGTTTTGGCTGCACAACTTGTATTTCACAGTACCCTCCACTCACTAATGGGTGATCTTAGTAGTTACCTAACTGATGACTAAGGAAGCTGTAAATCAGGCAGCACAAATTAGTGTCAGTGTGGCATATCCAAAATCTTTGCACTGAGGCATCCAGTTACCTTATGAAGCTTGAACCACTACATAACTGTCTTCTATAATGGCTGGACTGCACTGGATTGTGGCCATACCCTTTCCTTTCATCAGCTAACCCTTGTAGGTTTATTGAGTATCTCCACGCCAGAGGCTAAAAGCTAAACTGATGTAGACAATCTTGCTAAACTTATACCTCTGAGAAAATATTTTCGCTGGAGGCACTCA